GGATCTATATCAATATGGTATCATTTTAGCAATACATGGAACAAGCAATAAAATGAGACTACTTCAACACACGTTTATGAAGCGGGCTGAAGGAGTACTATTATAAATGTTGTAAAGTAAGTAATCGAAACGAATTATAATTTTTTATGGGACTCCGTGATAATAAAGAACGTCAATAAAATGAGCTGTAGGTATACTATATTTTATAAATACTGTTGGAAGTATATTGCCATATTGGTGACAAAGCGTTCCCTCTTTTATATTTGAGAGTGATCCAACTGTTATTTTTAAACAAGATCCAGTCATCCAGTGTTCATTCTTAATTTATTTTCCAATTCTAAATTACTTTAATAATGTAGATGTAATAAAATATTCCAATTCGTGTTTGTATAAATTATGTTTACAAGTCTAATACAAGTTTACTTTTTCACAAATATTTAAAATCGGCCCAATTGATTAACCTAAATGCTAGGCCAATGCACCTAAGAGATATTTTGTAAAATGAAGCGGACAAAGGAGGACTAGAATTATTATTTAGTTGAATTTTTATTTATGATTTTATTAGCATATTTTATTAATATAATATGCCATAAAATATATAATATAATATTATATCATAATGAATTTTTAAATTTAATATAATTTAAATTATACACTAGGTAATGTATAATAATAATACAGTATGAATTTTTTTTAAGCTTTATTGTAAGCAAATGTCTATGTTTTTATTCAATTTTACAAAATAACGCGATTAGCTATATTGATTTGCAAAACGGTGTTAATTTTCCATTAAACGCCATTTTCTACTTGATTGAAAATGCATCATAAGCTTTTTTAGTATTATTTATCATTATTAAAATTGAACACTTTTTATGTTTTTTTTTTTTAGCGGGGATTATTTAAGTTTAATTACGTCTCGTTTTATTGCATTTAATACACTAATAATATGTCATATACCTATATCTATATGGTAAAAATACTAATTTTTACTATTTATTATCATTATAATTATTTTTGGACGCATGCCAGTCAGAAATAGATTTATAAATCATTATTACCCACCAACACCTCATAGTCGAAAATATAAACTAGGTAGGTACCAAAAAATGTTCTCATTTTCACTGCTGTAGTTAATAGCAATTCTTAAAACAGTGGAATATATCAAAGGAAATAAGCATAATACAAATAACACTATCCTCTTAAATTTACTGACCACACTGAGAAGCTTAGAAATTACTACAGACATTGTAAATCTCATGCAATATAAAACAATATATTATATACAAAATAAAAGAATAAATATAACATTTATTAGAATACCAGGCCTTAAGAAATATACATGGGAACCAAGATGCTTAAAAGCTAAAAAGAGTACTAAGACGCTAAAAGCTGGGCAACAAAACTCAAATCATATTTAAAGCAAATAAAATGTAAAATTTCAAGTAAAATGGCAAACACACTGGAAAAATAAAAATCTAAACTAACGGAAATCAAAAAATACACGAAATGTAGAATACTGAATAGACTATAAAAATCGGATACTGTAAAATAACATATTTTTTGTCTAATGGAAAAATTAGATCCACCCATATGTTAAACCTGCAGAGTAACCCTAACTCCTAAGTGTCAAACACATACTGAAGAACTCAGCAAATTTACAAATCCTAATAATTTAGATGCAGCGCTAGATTTGAATCCAAAGCATAACCAATATATTTTAATATTCTTAAAAAACAACTAAAATGCATTACGTGCCAAATTAAAAAAAATCGTATTTCATTAATTACATAAAAATATATAGTTAACAGGTGGCAAATATGTGGCACAGGGTGATCAGAGACATACAGTGTCCCATACTATATCAACTCAAATTAATGATATGACATTATAGGTAGATCAACGGTAAAAAAAAATGTTATTTAACTAAAACTCAGGTGTGTAATGTTCCACAAGTATCAACATATTTTTTTATGCTTTTGATTTAATAATAAAATAAATAATACATTTTACTGTACTAACCAGTATCCAAAGGGATTTTTTTTATATCAATAAAGATTACCTGTATCGCTTATTTTCATCGACAAGTATATTTATTTTAACAATTATACACATATTTGTTTTTTACAATAAATTATATAGTTTGATATTGAATTCCGAAGTAGTGTGCTCCACCGTTCCTACAGTGACACATAAGTGTTCTCATAAAATAAATAATATATCAGATGTTGTCAATAACGTGAGTAAAGTCGATAAGAATAGATTAAATGGTATTTGTTGGTGAGAGGTATAATATCAAATATGCTTTGTATAATATTTATTTACCTTTCATTTATTTTTCGAGTTTACCATTACTCCCACACTAATACTGTTAATAATATGTGCATATAATATATAGACATATTTTGTTAACTTTACACAATATAAAATAATAAAACAGACGATCGTTTCCAATATTTTTTTAGACTTTTATACGTGAATAGAAGTGCTAAACAAGTTTTATCGATTACTGTTTGCAAATAGTTTGCCGACCGAATAAAATTTAATTTTCACGTCGTCAATGCGATAATATTAATATTCTAAACCCTAGCCCGTTGAACCGAACAAAAAACACACAACCGTGCCACCGATTACTGTATTTTATTTATTTGTTTGACGTCCGAAATGGTCGATTTTTTTCCACCCTAATAATATCGAAAACCGCACAACGTATTAATAAATTATCGGATGGGCGGTAGTAGCTCACATAATATATTATACACAATGATATGCGTTTTATACGAAAACAAACATTTCATTTCTGGCTGTCTGTATTTCAGTCATTATAACGTTTCGCTCGACACAACGAGTACACAAGAGAACTAGCTAATTTATAATGCAGTTGTCCTGTAGAACGGGTGAGCGTGGGGGATGAAAAGGAATTAATTCGAAAAATCTCTTCAAATATTTCAGGATTAGTTTTACTTATGCTGTCGTCTATTTCTCTTTGTAGACATTTTCTTAAAGACCATTAAGCCGATTGCTTTCACCACCCACCTATCGCTAAACGGCATTGTTCACCGTCGTGGCCCGCGAACCGCATCAATATAATAATAATATATTATATAGGTAGATACTGTGCAATCGTATGTTGGGTTATTAGCCAGTACAGTCATTCTTGTGCTCACACTCGATTGATGTAGGTATTTTATTAGACCTTTCATGCCCAACCACCGGTTGAACACGCACACTCTGCGAGAGAAATAATTACCTACTCTAATACTCTTAGATAGGTAAATAGTACATAGGTATGGACAAGTTTCAATTTTCCTGAAAGATAAATTCAGATCAAACACCAACAGTATAACATTGGATATTTTCAACTTTTCTCAGACCATTATCGACGGCTTACAATCAAAATACACCACGTGCTGTTTCGATTAATACGCCTTTCGATTAATTATATTGCAGTTGTAATGACATCCATTAACTATCGACACACGTGTTTCCTTCTTACATTCTTACATAACACCTTTTCTTTAGTTTTAACTTACACATTTGTTGCGTTATTTTTAAGTAATTATATATAATCTATAAATTTCTTCTTTTTTTGTTAAATGGCACCACTAAAATATGTAACTATAGGCTATAACCATGATAGTATTATGGCATAATGTACATAATAATATATGATATGTTAATTTTGTGTACACCCAATGGCCAGTTTTGGCTTAACTGATTGATAAAACTAAATGCTATATGAAATAAAAACGTTGTACATCGTAGGTAAATAATTACATTAAAACTATAACTATGATAATTATTATGTTAACGAATGAAGACCATCTCTGATTCTAAACTAATATGATAAAATGACTACGAGGCCCCGTCAACGTTCAAACAAGCATTCAATACCGTATTTAATGTACCACCTACTCACCACAAGTTTGATTATTTTATGTATGGATGCCTTATTGCAATAGACGAATGTGGGATGGAAGTAGTTTATTGTTTAATGAAACACGACTTGCATAATACAGTTGTAAATCAACAACTTGAAATTTAAACGGGGAAAAAATTCTAGTTATTAAAAATTCCAAGATACCATAATAACCAATTAGGTAAGTGTTATAGCATTTGAAGAAGAATTTTAATTGTTTATACAATTTTCTAGATATTAATTTTGTTATCAGTTTGTCACTTATCAAACTATGTTGAATGTTTATCCCAGGGCTTATTTTTTTTATCATGCCCCGTAAAATTGTTTTTTGAAATAGAGTCATGCTCACTACTAAAAAACCCTTAAAATGAGCCCTGGTTTACCGAAACCCAGAACAAAGTGAATGTTATAATACAATTTATATACATTTATTATACTACCTATAAACGTTTATTATGGTGTAACAATAGATGAAACAATATTACCTAAGATAATTTTAAAAGAATAAGTGAAAATTTAGAAAATTTAGGGACCCTTTGTAGTTGACGCAGCTACTAACTTCTAACTAGTAAGTACTGACTACTAACACACCCCTAAGGTCTATTTTGAGATAATAAATTCTCAAATTTAGTAAGAACCTATATTTTAGTATTAATGGCTTTTTTTGGATGTTTCATAAAAAATCTATGTAACATAAAAAGGTAATTATTGAAATATTCAAGTTATGTAATAATATAACTACCTAGTTAAAACTTAATTGTATCCTCTATTAATCTTCCTTATGATCCAGAAGGTGATTATAAATTGTAATATTTTAAGTGTTTTAAGTCTTCAAGAAGTGTCAATTATGTATAATTTTATTTAAATATTATATTATATTATTTTTATTTGTTATTAAGCCACAACAACATAGATTATTGGCTGTTATATTATATTGTGGGTGCCTTGTTATTCACGATTATTATAGGTAGATATTTAACATAATTACCATACATTATCTTACACTAATAAATAAATCTATGAATTACTTGTTAATAATATTTTTTTTAAGGTAGAAAATAGGTACGAAGTTTAATATTATGAATTAATTTCTGTTGGATATTTTTGAGTTAGTCGTTGTAATAGTCATGGTATTACTACCATACTGTTCTGTGTCCCATTTTGTCACCTGAAAAAAATATGTAACATTATGTAATCAAAGATAACTACTAATATTATTATGAGTTAAAATAGTGATTTTTTAATTTTTTTTGTAACGGAATCTATTAGTAAAAAAAAATATGTATTATTTATATAACATTTGTCACATGATGTTATTGCCATACAGCGGAATGACGTAACGAATAACGAAATAACAATAGGATTTGTGTGCCACGTGAGCTACCTGATGACACGAAGCACACGTGGTACCTCAATTTTAGATTCTAAGCTGAGCAATGAATGTATTGATTTTACAATGACGTGTGTTTATTATTTTATTTACTTGTCTATAATCACGTTTTGGGTGCAGTAAAAATGATTAGATTTTCAGCTTCAATATTTATTCTACTATGAAAATGAGTCTAGCTGATACTTTGGAGGGATAGGGGGTGCAATAGTAAGAATAGCCAGTACTTTAATTAATAGTTAAGAAAAAAAAAAAACTAGAATTCTTACACAAAATTCTAACGACTCTATAACATATTCACCGGTAAATTAACGATTTCTCAAAGATTTTATTTTTGTTGTAACTCAAAAACAGATAACCTTATTTACTTTAAATTTTTATCAAATTTTCACAACATCAATTTCCATGCATGGTATAGTTTTAAAAATATTTTGACTCTTTTTGAGATATTTTTAGACATTTGACATTTTTTTTTTATAAATATTTATAAAAAGTTATTTGCCATTATTAATACAAGGTTCTTCATTAGTTATTATTTTCGTTATTTTAAAATATTATACATACATAGGCAGGATTTATTTTATAGATATTCTAAGTTCAAATTGGAATGAAATTAGATATTAAAACTTTTAGGTATTTTATTATATTTTATATGCACCATGACACATTTTTTTTAGCTATTACCTATTTATACGACGAACCTATTCAACGTTTTACAGTAAGGTAGAAGGCGGTATTTAATCATAAGTTAATAATAAGCAATGTTCTATGCAAAAATTAAACTAACGTACCGTAGACTAACATTATTAGCAACATCAAAACCGTCTTCGCTCATAATCCTTTTTCCTATGCAATGCTATTTTATCATTGAATTAAAATTTAACACACTTACGTGTTCAACAACGATTATACCAATTCTAATAATTTTTAAGCGACGTTTTGTGCATTACCTATATAGTGTAATTCCACTTGGGTAAAAAAAAAAATGTAGGACATGTTGTGTATATACGGTAAATTGAGAAGTGATTATTCTATAAACATTAATGAACTATAACGTTGAGACTTGAGTGCAAAAAAAAACAATGCATCGTGTTTCAATGTGGATTTTTATGTAACTAAAGGTAAATATATTACTCCGATTTCAAATCAAAGTCCACTTAGAGTTACTCAACTAACTGCTATTTTTATTTTGAGTACATTTTGTCATCTTGACACCACGTGGCTAACATTCGTCAATATTTAATTATTTTACCAGCTTTTCAGAAAAAATTGCGTTTCCTCATTGAAAAGTTCACAGTAGATTCAGCTAGTCAAATAAATAGTATTATTCAATTTTCCTTAAATTTGTTTAGTTGAAAAATCTGAATGTTTATCGCTTGATCAATCATTTCACATACCAATTTATATTGTTATGGCAATGCAAAACAAATATTATCTTTTATGTGTTATTTCTATATTGGTATTAATGTTTTTTTTTTTTTATTATTAGCACGATATGACTTATGGAACCTACTTAAAGTTAAATCAAACATATGAGTAAATAATAATTAAGTGAAAAATATTTTAGTGGGTCGAGTAAAATAAAAAATGTCCATAAAATATTATTATTTAAACGATAGTTCATAGGAAAAAAAAAATAAAAACCTTAAAGGTACCTATAATATCAGACTGAACCTCTGATGTTAAATAAAAGTTGTATATGATTTAAATTGAAATTCATATAAATATATAATATTATAGTATAGATCTCATAGAATCTTTTTAAATCATTAACGTATACAATAATAATTATAATATAAGTTGTAATATTGTTCGTATTTATTTCAAAACAATTGTATAATATTGTTATGAAATCAATGTTTCGTGACTATACAATAAATGTATGTTTTAGATTTTCATTTTGTTTACTTTATCATTATCTCCCTTAGTCCATCGCCCTTCTTACCAGCTAAATGTTGGTAGTTGTTTTGTATTACTATTATCTAAGATTGATGGATAAATGTTTTATAAATTGTGTTTCCATGGTAACTGCGGATAAATTGCGAAGTCCTTAATTTTGTACAATATGTAATACAAAATTAAAACTTGTATCTCTAAATTAAAATGTTTTTGACAACGCTCTATAGTTTTTTTTTATTCCTGAGTATTTGGGGATAGGTTTACAATAAACATTTATAAGCGACTCATTTATTCTCAACACAAAATAAAATACGTTCAATAACGCAACTGCACATTATCAGTTTATTTTCATGGTTATTTACACCTTATTTTCCGATACAATTAATATTTTAAGTGTTGCCCAAATTGCGGTCGGTGGAAAAAATTTATTTTTCAAATATTGTAATTTTTGATGATGAATTAAATGAGATTTTCTTTAGTTTCTTGATTCTACCTTTACATTATTTTTGGATAAGCATTTGGTACATTAAATTTTGAACGCCCCTAGAACTTCCCGATGAAATGTCCCTACAAAAATAAGAATCAGTGATCCCTACAATACATCATAAATTCATAAATATAGAAAATCTTATTAATTTCCGATTATTTGATTATAATCATTTTTTTTTTAAATTTATATTTAGGTATATTTATCAAACCCATTAAAAAACGAGTGTGTTACGTCATCTATAAATCCCATACCATTGTTTATATAATCAATGATTATACTAATACATGAATTTGAGAGCTTTTTCAAACAATGTCACGTAAAATATTTGCTTTTATTTTTCAAACATAAAAATATGTATTGTGGCCTACAATATAATATCTCATGAAAGTAACGATGGGCCAGTAGACCACTCAAGTAGAAGAGTACCTAGTACCTAGTGTACTATTGTATAGGTACGTTAATATAAACATATATTACATAATAATATGTAAATTATAAATGTAAAAATGTTGTCATGCCTGTGAGACACAAAACAAAAATGGGACTGTACCGAGTGCACACTCACCAAGATTTTATTTATGTAGAGCTCGTATGGTATGACGGTGCCACCTGCAGCCGTTTCGATGGTGGCGGCAGACATCATTTCCTCTAGTTCTTCGTCTTCGAATGGTTCTCCATCGTGACGGAGCGCCGACTCCATGCACTCACGGCTTACGGTGCCGGTCCGTTCTGGATCCAAGGCCCGAAAAGCGCTAAGCAGTTCAGACGCTGATGCTGGTTGATATCTGTTGTAAAATAATGTCACAATGTACCTATTATAATTAATAACGTCGAAGCATGGGTTTGCCGTGCAGTGTATAACAATCAGGGACATCATGTATTTTGGGTTTTCTATTCTATTTTTCAAATACATTTTCAGCGGTTTCTAATTCCAGTATTGGATTGTAAAAAATACTCTTAATCAATGGAGTAAGAGTGAAGAAGGAGTTGTCGAAATTCTGTTGGGGAGAAAAAAAACTAATTTTTATGGAGCGAGGATATTTTGATTGATTATACCGGTGTCATTTGAGCGAGGTGTCTCTTTGTGTACCAAAAAATTTAATGGTAGGCCATTTTTAACGTCACAATCTGTTATTTAAAATATACTTTGTCTTCCTTATATATTTTCTTACAAAAAATACGTACTGATTTTTTTCTGTCTTAGAACACATATAAATAAATTCTTATTAAATTGTATAGAACAATAATTTTACTATAAGTTGTAGACGTCCGACGTGTTAAAATCAATTTTAGGAACTTTAGTTTATTGGATCCGATTTCAATCGATTATACGAGCACAGAATTATAACAAACATCAACCATTCTGAAGTAGTGAAGTACTATACTATTATATTATTATATAGTAATTATTTGCTCAGCTAGGAAAGGTTGTTGATAACATAAAGTTAAAAAAAAAGAAAAAGGAAACTACTAATTCATAATATGCATAATATATATTGCACTGTAATATTGTATGTTCATTGTTTAATGTTAATTGTATATCAAATATATAGTACCTATTTATAAAAGTTTTGTATTTGTGTTAATAAACAATGGTGGAATCGGAAAGCCATAGGAAATTATTAAACTAGATCCCCAAGTGTCAGCGGTTCATAATGGAAAAAATGGTATAACTACTGCTGTACTAGTATAATATAAATTTATTTTTAGATGATGTTTAGTAAAAATGTTTTTTTTCCCTCTTAACATTATAGCTTATAAAAAATTCATTCAGAAATATGTATGCAACCAATTAATCACTGAAGGTTTCAATGTGTTCATTTTCTATAAATTAATTTGAACCCTAATATATGCATGCAAAATTGAAAACAGTGAGTAGGTATAACTAATTAAATTCTACAACCATATAAAATATTATGTTATCCGTAGAGTATGAAGTTGATTAAAAAATGCCTTTTTTTTTCTAGTTATAAGTACCATTAAAAACAAACAACTGATATGTATCAAATGACCGAGACCAAATATATAAAACAAAAATTAAAGTGAAATAGTTTTCAGCTTTAAAAAAACATCAAGTACCCTCATTCATCGTGCACCTAATTATAATCAATTTTAGAATCTGTATTAAACTTGTGTATAAAATAATATATGTAACGGTTATTATAGGTACTGATTTTGAATTTGCTAATACGTTTTAATTTAATTAGGTACTATAATTAATAGTTATATACACGCCTATCATAGTCCATCCCCTCCTCATTTCACGTTCTAAGTGGTGGTCAATCATTAAATGCTTAATAATCATTCTACACCATTTATATCTATATTGAATTTTCAAACATCAACAACATTAATTAATACATTTGAATATTTGTTTGTTGTGCATAGCAAGCACATTAAAATATCAACATGTATCCGATTCCATCTCACTTGTATTCACTGATAGCGTTTTCGACGTATGGTAAAAATGCCGCCAGATGTACGGTACCTGTCGCTTCGTGATCTTCAACGTTTACAGCAAGTTCTCTCAGGTCGGCTTGCGAAGGTACGTAACCTGTGATAGATTTTAAAATACCACATTACTTATGAAACAATTGATCACATTATACCAACACAATGATGTAACTTCATAACTTTCAAATATTTTATTAATTATCAGTTATTACTAATATCTTCCATCGGTCGAAATTCGACCAGAAAAATAATTTTAATTGTAAAGTCAACACGCTCTAAAATATTGCGTTTCTCACCACACACAGGGTTCGGCACTGGCGTTTGTTGTTCTACCCCTTTTATTCTTATGAATAATTTATTTATATGGAACAACTATAATTTTCTTTAGTTACATAAATTTGTTAGGTTACTGTGTTATACATATATTTTGTGTTACACTGTTACCGAAAACCATAGTATGATTACAAAACGTTTTATTGTACTAGGTGAGTATTTATATTTTCGTATTTTACCTGCCTCAACGGCCACATAATATGAATAAACTTTTTTTATGCAACTCTACTCGACAATACTTTGATATACCAATGATATATATCTATTTATTTCCTTATATGTATTGGTAAAGGAGGAGTTATTGATATGAAAAAAAATGCTTGCGTATTAATATATAAATCCATCACACGAACCACTGGACACAGCGATAAACCACAAAAATATAAAAGGTATATGTATGAACTTTACTTGATATTCCATATAATATATGGCTTTTAAAATGTACAGTACCACATTACCTCTATAGCCCGATCTATGGCCCAAAGTCATGCCAATGACTGCTCATACATTCCACGTTATAAGATTATACTTGGGCAATATTAAATCTATAACACTGATTGTTTACATTCAACATACGTATACTTTACATACCATAAGTTTTTAATCAGTAAACAAAAGTTAAGGACGTCGCATGCCAAGGTGGATCAGTGGTGTTTACTGACAGCTTAACACGGTTTCGTTTTTACTCTAGATATATTATTATATCCCTGTAAGTCGTCTCAAGTTCAAATTTTAATCATACTATAATTTTTACTCAACACTATTCATCAAAAACATCTGTATGATCTTTAAAATATTAAACCTAAAACTAGTGTAGATAGGTAGTTTAATTATACCTACTGATTAATTATTATTATACATTTACTTCTATTTTTTCATTTAGCTCTATATTAAAAATATTATTAACACCTTTCATCCATATGACAAATTAGCAATTAAGTATTTTAAAACTAAAATAATAAAACGATTTTGTTCAAATAGTAAGTAACATCATTATAGTTGTATAATTGTTTGACATAAATTTTAGATTTTGATAGAACAAGAAAATTGTTTTCTAATAACAATTAAAAATACTTAAGAATACATTTTAAAGCCTTTGAATTTAAAATTCTATCAAATCAGAAAATCTCAGTCATTACGTTATCAAATACATAATCTACTTTTATGGTAGTTTGTAGTAGAATATTTCATCTAGTAGGTTTTTTGTAAGGTGTCAGAAGTAAAAAATGGTAATTTCTTTTTAAAAAAGTTGGGAAAACCTAACGAAAAATTATCGGAAAATAGGAATATTTAAGCACTACAGATTCAAATCTATAGATTTTTTTTTGTTATAAGTCAAAAACGATTAACCGTAATTACCTACTTGAAATCTTGATTACAAAATCTTTATACTAATATTTTCTAAACATAGCAACATTTTGAAAATTTGCGTTTTTTCATATATTTATCATATACATTTGAAACTTGAAATTTTTTTTTCTCTATTATGTCGATAAAGTATATTTTTAATTTCATATTTTGAAGCCTAATATTTTTATGAACCGTCTAGGCTCTTTGCTGTCAATACCTATTTCTTTCACACTTCCCTTGTTCTTTACAATTACCTTTTATTATTTACAAAGTTATATAAGGTAACTAATTAAGTGTAAAGGTACCTAACTAATCTGTTACAAAATTCATTATTTATGAATTGAAATTCTCCAGAAAAATCTTCTTCTTAGAAATTGAAACAAATAACGTAGATACCTATATTGTTATTTAAAAAGTAAAAACTACATTTACCGGGAAAAAGATGTTTATTGTTGAAAAATCAACTTGCAGCACGTAATAATACGATGTGGTCTTTACTATCCTTCCACAAAACGTCTCTCTAGTATCCCTCTACCGATCTGCAATCCCTAGCGTATGTATGTGTCTACTACCTTACCCAAGTAACGGAGCACTGTGCCAAGTTCACGTACATCAATGGTCCTGTTGCCACTATGATCGAATATGTCAAAAGCGTCTGCAATGGCTGCGGCCGTGCAAGTTGACGTCGCCGAGGACAATGCTGTGGCGGCCGTTTGTGAACTTACTCCAGTGGAAGCGTTTGGTAGTGTCGACGACGATGCAACAACCGAAGTGGTTGTCGTTGCAGTCGTAGTCGTGATTGTAGACGTGGTCGACGACGTGTCCAACATAATATTATACTGTTGTGTACGTAAACTTCAACTTATTATGACTGTTCTGGTCACGGCGGATGTGTATTGTGACCTAGACGTTGCTTTATCGATCAAACATTACGAGGTTCCGTCGCTATTGAACTAATTTGTTCGTAATCAAGTTTAGTAGGTATGCTTATCACCGCCAAGCTATTGATACTATACCCTTTTCCGTAAGAAAAAATAAAAATATTAGAACCATACATTTTAAATCAATTTTGGTTGATTCGATCAGTGGTTATTGTAAAAATATAAACAAGTGACAAAACATCTCATGCTTACAATAACATTGTTAATCATACAGTAATGTTTGAATTATTAAAATATTACAGTTTTTTATTGATAATAAAATTTCTATTTTGGACTCCGAACAATCTATTTCAGTGCAGTTTACATATTATACTTATATTGACAAATACAAATCAATAAAGATAAACGAAAATCTATAGTCAATATTGTTTTATTTCTGTTCAAACGAAAACCTTTTAAGAGAATTACGTGGGAATTTATGCCATCTTCAGCATACGATAAAACCAATCAGAGTTTCTGAGAAAAGTCGTTCCTGTTTCGTTCTTAGTAAAAAATCCTATTATAAACGTAAAATAATATACAATAACAGGGTATTTAAAAAGCCAGATCATGGTGGTAGTTTGAATCCCAACATTTTTATAAAACTTTTATAGTCATGCTACAAAAAGAAAGCATACAACATCAACGGCTTAATGTTTAAGTTTACATTCGCAAGTCTTATGATCCAATAATCTTATGTTATAAAATGATTCTGATTTGTTTTATATCTAATATAGAGCATTTAGTTTAATTATCATATAATAAAAAATCTGTCCTAAAATTACATTTTATTTTCCCGAATAACTAAGATCCTGAATCGAATAAAGTATTTCATATTTACGAAAAATCTACAAAATGGTAGAATCAGATACAATGTTAGCAATATAATTTATACAATCCTCTTAACCTCCAAGTTCATATTATACTATGTTAATTAATCTATAAATAAAAATCCAAATACCACTCACTCACTCATTCATTACTAAATCTTAAAAACTACAAAACGAATGAACCTGAAATTTGGTAAGTGGTTGCTCAATGCTCTAGTTATGCAATAAGAAAGGATTTTCGGATATACGCATTTTAAAGAGGTGGTCAAAAAGGGGTCTTGAGATTAACGGTGGAAATTAAACTTTTTTATTTATGAAGGGCTGACATTAATTACTCAGGGAGATCAGGTACAAGCATATGCAACAAACAAGGTTTGCGCACATCGCAATACTGTATGCCATATTCAAGATCAATTAATATTTACAAACCAAAATATTGTCATTATTGCTTATGTGTATGTATCGTGGAAATGTCACAAAGTGTGTATATCATTAGTATAATATTGTGATGAATTCTACGAGACTGACCGTGAAAAAATTGGTAATAAATCACAAATAATGATTCTATATTATTGAATAGCTGGCAAGGTTGAACCCACAGAATGGTGATATTTTATTTTTATTTTTAAAATGATTTTCTGTCATCATTTTATTTGAATTATTTATATTGTTCAATACATCCTTCGCATACATCATGAATAGGTACTTCAGTGGAACAACTGTGTAATTAGCTTTTTATGTTTATTAAACATATTACGGCTTACAATAATATTTTGAAGTTGGTACAGTTCAGTTAATTTATTATTTAATTAAATAACTATTATAATATTTAACTAATAGTGTTTCTATTACTGTTAACAGTCTTTAAAATCCAACATAATTTAGAAAATACTAGAAAGAATAATTATATATTTATTTAACATTGTTATATATAATAATATAACAATGATAAATAAACAAATATACAAATAATATAATATTAAATTAATATAATTAATATAATGAATTATAATATTAATATACAAATATGATTATATTATAATCATATTAGTAACTTATGCCTGTTCTCCCAAACCAACATTATAATATATTATTCAAAAATATGAACTCATGGCGCTGGTGTATCTGATTTGCATATCTATTACGCCGTGTGGTAGTAATTATTATATTTTTGAAACGTCAGATCAAACAAAATAATATTATATTATTATCATCATAGGTAATTATAATTATTATAACTTATGAAATAACTTTAGTATAAACCATAAAATAACTATCCCAATAATTCAATGACTTATGTATGAATAAAAAAAGAAGAAAATTAATGTCAACATATATTATATTATAATATTATAGATAATTTATTGTTAGGTACATACAATAACAGTGTATTATGACTAAATATATCTCTAACTGAATGTATTAGTATTATGAACATACTATTATTGTATTCAATAATATCCAGAACCCGATTTCTATTAACTTATGCCACTTTAGAGAATTCAAAATGTACAAAAATAACATAAAACCAAAAACAGCTATCAAACAAATCGACTATTTTATTTTATATGCATAATATCAATTCACCATAAATATTTTTTTTAATAACTATTATCTGTTTATGTAGTATATCTTTTTTGATCTCAAAATAGTAGTCTTGTTGAAATTATTTGTTGAAATAAATTTAATACCTTCATATTATTACTCTCTTATGTAATCAAATGTGCCAACTGTATCTATTCTGCATATAACTGTCAAGGATGGGCAAGTTAACTATTTTTTTTACTCGTTAAGTTAAGTTAATATAGAAAAATGTAAGTTAAGTTTAAAGTTAAAATTTAACTTCATTTTTTTTTTATTTTGTAAAAGTTACAAGTTAATTAGAAAATAAAAGTAACTTAACTTAGTTAAAAATAAGTTATTTTTTTTTTTTTTAAATAAAATTAACAATTATACCTACCTACCTTTTTTAAAGCTAACAAATAACATAATAATTCAATAAATCAAAAAATGTCTTACAATATTTGAATAAATGTTTGTAATAAAATTAGTTACTGTAGGTACTTATATTAATTTTGTGTATTATACTTTAATTAGGTAAATAGAAATACCACGCTACTACGGGTATTCTTTACATCGACGGGCCAAGTTATCACCGTAATTCTATGAATGAATAAAAATATAATAATAAGTAATGATATTAATAATGATTAGGTATAGGTTAGGTGATATGTCGAGTATGGGATAGGTACTGAGTAAATTGTTATATTTTTCTTTGACGCGGTTAGAGTCATCTCTATGATATTTCCCTCTAAAAATATAATTATAAAATATTTTCTGTGAATATGCAATATAAAAACTTACTATTATTATTATAAATTATTATTTAATAAAATATATTTAATATTTCGGGTTCTTTTTTATGTAATTAATTTTACAAAATTGAATTAATTTTAAATAATATGTGGTTTGAGAAAAAATTAACTTAACGTGCCAATAAAATTAATTAACTCGTTAAGTTACTGAATAATATGGGGGAAAATGTAAATCGTTAAGTTAGAAGTTACTTCTAAAAAAAAAAGTAACTCGTTAATTAACTTAGTTAAAAGTAACTTAACTTTTTAACTTAACTTTAACTTATTAACTCGTTAATGCCCAGCCTTGATAACTGTGAATGTAGCTGCTCATATTCCATGAAATCTGATAATACTGTTGTGTAATAACAAAACAAAACAAAAATTTACTTCATGTAAATAATTAAAATATTGTATAATTAATTTGGTCATCTCTTTACGGGACTTTTAAATGCTTTAATACGTTGACTTCTAGGCTTTAGCCATTGGAATTTCAATAAACGACATGAGATATACAAAAATAATGACTATTTATTCTACGACCAATCACCTATCAAGTAACTTAATTCTTTTGAAATTTCAGAAGTCTTGAACTCTGTCCACAAATACCTTGAAAGCATCAACATTGAGTTATCGATACAGCTTCACCGGGTACATACAATTTCCAATATTACTTTCTGTCCATAAGTAGTATATATTTTTTACGTGTATTTATTTTAAGCACTTATGAATAAACAATTTGTGAAAGTATCAATTTTGTAGGATAAAGTATCGTTTAATAAGTTACACTGAAACAACTGAAACAAATATCATATATCTAGAATATCTACTGAGATATATAATATATAATATATTATATATTATTATTGATTTTATCGTTTATTTTATACAACAATCTGTAGATACCATAGGCAATATAGTATATACATGGATAGGACATGAGTAGGTATTTAGTAACTTTTATTGCTTTAAGATTTAGTAAATAATATGATAATATAATATGTGTTGCCGCAATAGTTACATATAGTTATGATTGTGGTAATCTCAACTGACAATTTTGATAAATAATAACTGCAGTAAAATTACATTTGTAACATAATATTATATTATCTTCAAGCACATTATACAGTATGTCCTAATTATAGAAATGTCCTATCCACATATACATAATATTATCCACGGTTTAGTCTTCAGATACAAGTTAAATGAGTGGTAACTGGTGGTAACAGATATTATTCGAGAAAAATGGAAAATAAAATTTACATTAAAATAACCAGAGTTTTAAAAGTTGAAACACTTTTTCTGCTATAATGGTACAATGTTTTTATATTGATTTAATACAAAGAGCATCTGAAGAAACATCAACATTCTATTATTTCCAATTGGAATTAATGAATACCATATTAATATTTAACAAGTATTTTAATGATATATCATATTATATACATGGCCTGATTCGTACAAGTATACAATATATACATAGTACCTATACATAAAATATGTATATTATTTTCTTAAATAATACATTTATCAAAAGTTTTACATTTGAATACACTATACGGCTACATTGTGTTTCTAAAGATCGTGAACCGAACCAAAGTTTCAGAACTTACAAAAATTATATCGATAAAATTACATTTATTGTAACAAAAGTCGTAGAGGGTTATCATATTTTGTTTCAATCAATAAAATGAAAAATTATTTAAAATGATATGCGACAAAATAA